TTTTTTTTTTAACAAAAAAACCCCACAAAAAATAAAATGCTTATTGCTGACGCAATATGAACGTGACACTCGGATGAAAACACCTGTTCTGACCTCACTGAAGTGCCAGGTATGATCAACTTCTGCCTCGCTATCTGAGCAATGTTTGGATACTTCAGTGCATAATTTTCCACCACAAGAGTGGATCCCTGTCGGCTCGTGGAGGTGTCTCATTCTGGTAACGTTTCATCTCTTCTTCAAAAAGGGTAGGCAGGGAGGCAGCAGGTGCATCACTCTCCCTGTATGTCTCCCCCAACTGGTTACACATCGCTGACAGCGCAGTGGGTGGTGTTGGTGCAGCGGGCTCCTCCGTCGGCGACTCTCCCTCCCTCTGCATCCCGAACAGGATTCGCCGTGATATACAACATTATTGATAGTATTCATTAATTATTAATTATTAATGATATTCAAATTATCAAATTTAGGTTCGAACTTATAAAAAAAATATATATATTTTTGAATATATTTTTAACTTCGATTTTTTTTTTTTTTGACAGTCCTAACACACATATTTACTGCTGGTCTATTCGCGCGGGATTAGTATTACCTGAGGTAATTGTCCTGGACCCTTTTACAGAAGGTAAAAGTCGCGGTAATCTTTACTGACATCGTGCGGTAATGATTACTGACATGGCACATTCGGACGGGACTAAAATCTCTGGTAATTATTACTTTACCCCAAGTACCTATGTAAAACTAATCCCGTCCAAATAGGGCTAAAGTCAGGAACATAACAGAGCTGGTGTATAGTGTCTTTGCGCTGCCAAAGCACAAGAGTAGAGGTGAAAATGTTGTGCTGCTTGTGAATGGTTCCTAATCTGTCTTTAATAGCCCCGTGTTCTCAGATGTTGTACATGTTGACATGTCAGGTTTAAGGCTCATCTCATTAAACTACTTCATGGTCACTGAACTGAGGTAAACTTATTAGCATACCAAGCAGGTAATGTCCTAAACCCTCTTAGCTACTGTAATCAGGCTATTATCTGACCAGTCCCTCCACTACACTCTTGTCCATATGCATGACAGTAACAACACCTTTCCAACACAAACATACTTTGACTAAAAAATACAACAGGTAAAGAATAAGCATCACACTCTAACTGTCAATTGTAATATTACAACTACTCTTATTATGTAGCAATTGTAATGGGGTTTTCTGCTGGAACATTAGAATGGCATTTGTAGGAGTTTTAAAAAAAGGTCTTCAGATGAATAATTACATGGGGCAGTAATGAGACTGAATGAGTCACTTTAGCCCCGTCTCCACCAAACACTTTCGGTATAGTACCTTTGGAACCAAAAGTAACCTTTCAGACATGGTACCTAGACCCTAGGTCTGTTTAACGTTTCCATTGCAAATAGTACTTTTAAATGTGGGCGGGGTTGTTGTCACTCACTGCTCTGTCCAGCACTGGCTGTATTTCCTCATCACCAGTGACACAGAGGGAAGTCTGCACCTCATTTATCCACAGAACAGGGTTGCATGCTAACATTTTCAGAACAAAATAGAACAGGCTGCAGTGAGAGTCTCTCTCGATGGGATATTTAAAAATACCAGGTCTTTGTATTTAGTCCTTCTCAGGCAAGCGCAGGGGTTTGGTGTTGCTGTAGCCCACAGGAACGACACTCCATAACCTATTTTTTTTCTCCAAGTGAGGTTTAGAATATATGCAGTTCACATAATCCAGTTGATATATACATATATATTTTTAAGTGCTTGAAGATGCACTCACCGTGCTAGAGGCTGCAAAACATCCTTTTATTTTATAGCTATAGTTTACTAATATAAGACACTGCATGAACAGTGGGTTCAGAAGTTAACAGAAGTTACATAAGTTCCATAACCAGCCACAACTCAGCCCTGAGCAAGAGTGATCATCCACTAATATTGTTTTTTCGGAACAGTTCCATTGGCACCATCCAAAACGTTTCACAATGGAAGAAATGTGTATGAACTGAACTGAACCGTACTGCATGGTGGAAACGGGGCTTTTGTAAGATAAGCATGCAAAACACAGGCACATCTTTCCTGTCCAGGTGCTTAATTCAAAGCTGTACTCTGATGATGGCTAACTTTGGCTCCTGGTGTTGTACTATTTCTTACATATATACTTCGATAAGTTGGGAGGATCAGTCTATATTGGTTACAGACAACAGTTCAACCCACCTCTTTGCCACTGTGCATGGATCTTGTTGCGATACACAGAGTAGCAGCGGTCCAAGGCACTTAGATAGCACTCTATTGACAGCTTGCCATCGACCACAGGATACTCTGACACCAGGTCTGGCTTGTAGAAGTCATATGCATGCTGCATATGGGTTCCTCGCAGACCTGCACCACAGTCACAGCAGATGGCTCCTCAGTTCAACCCCTTTGTATGTATAACTCCTATCTATAAATGACTGCACAGTCTACACCAAGCTAGCTAAACTTTAAAACATCTTTTCACTGATTAATTTTTGTCTTATGCTCACCTATAAGTATTGCTTTTAATAAACTCTTCCTGGATAACAGAGCTAGGTTTTTGTATTTCAGTGTAAAATAAACACAAACAATAACTTATCTAACCTGTGCACACTGTAAAAGTCACTCAACTGTCAAGGAAAAGAAAATTACAGAAGACTACAGAGAGCCTGGCTCTTATCAACAGGTTCCTTCTAAGTACCTAACGACATTAGTCTCTGTACTGAACAGCCAAGAAAATTAAATCAGTGACCTGCTACAAAAGTTAAGTAATGAGTAAACATTTGAATGATGGGATCAGCTTAATATGATAGTATGTCAGTCACTTAAGTGTGCTGCCTGACTAATTGTGCACAACAACAGTTACCACTTCACTGACCTCGTTCAAAGGCCAGAGGAGCATTAGGCCCAACCAACATGGCCACTGCACCTGCACCCCCTGTTGGCCGGGCACTTCCTGTGGCGTAGACAGCAATGTCACCGGCAACAACCAAAGCATAACGCCCTGCAGAAATGAAACATGAGCAGAAGGGGAATGGCAGGATTTTTTTATGTACAAAAGCGTCTTCTCTACACTCTGCCTCCAGAGCCACAGCTGCAAACTATGTAATACTGAAAAGACATCAACATTACACAACTTTGTTCACTCACCATCCCATGAGCTGGACTCCACCCAGTTGACAGCATTGAAGAGTGCAGCGGTACCTCCGTAGCAGGCATTTGTAGTGTCAATGCCCTCCACATCTGTATTGCCAGAGTCCTCAAACAGCTGCATGAGAACTGTCTTGACAGATTTGGACTTGTCAATGATGGTCTCAGTGCCGACCTCCAGTCGACCCACACTGTCATAAGAGAGGTCATTCCTCTCCATCAGCCTCTGGACCACTGTGAGGCACAAAGAGTTGATGTCCTCGCGATCTGAACAGAAGCCCATGCGAGCTTGGCCCAGGCCCACAGTGTATTTACCAGCTGGCACACAGTCTAATTGCTCCAGCTCAGCCTGGTCCACATACTGGGACGGGAAGTATAGTTCCATGGCAATGATACCCACATCTTTGGGCCATGGGCCCAAACAACTGATTGGGGCTGATCCTGGCATCCTGTATGGGTTAAGAAGAGGTTTCATGTTCAGTATTTTAATAAACTGATAAATAATTTGTGTGTTTTACTTGTTGGGATTACTATAGCAATTAACCAAATGCCTGCGATGCCTCCTTACTGCTTATGTTGGAATGAATGAATAAATAGGCCAGCAGATATATCACTCACACACACACACACACACACACACACACACACACACACACACACACACACACACAGAGCGCTACACATGCACAGCCCACATCTCCCAAAACCTTAACTGTCATAAAATTAAGTGGATCATGGTGCATCATACTTTGTCTGAATAATACTAGTACCATCCAGTAAGTTCATGCTAACGTTAAACACCATCACAGAGCACAAGCCATTTTAGAACATGGAGCACCCTCACACAAATTAGCTTTTCCGCCACTTTAACATGTTTCCAGAAGACTACAGTTCGATAACTTCTCTGTAAATTGAAACCAAGCTACCAAAACTGGAGCTTCAAAGCAACATCTGACATTGGGTAACATTATGAGACACTGAGCTCGCGTTGTTGTTCCAATGTTAGCGTGGAGCTCTTACAGCTTACGTTATTAAGCTAAAGTAGGGTTAGCTATCTGGCAAGGTTATTGAGAATACTGACCAACTGGTACGTTATTTAAAGATAATTTAACTAGTTGTAAGACAGCCACTGCAGTGGTTGACACACTATTACGTGTAACGTTACCAAACTATCATCAACTAAACGCCCGGTCTCGTTGTACGTTACACGCCACTAGCTAAGGTTGACGGGAAAAAAGACAACAAACTACACAGAAAGTTGCCAACGGTAGCTGGCTTATGTCTCAAGATTGACACCTAGGTAGCTCTTAGCTTGTATTGCTTATTATACCTACCTAAACAGCTACATAAAGTTTGTGCATGGGACAAGATACGGACGAAAGTGGGTAAAAGGGTAACGGGATTTCCTGCAATTGAGTCGTGTACGACCAACCTTTAACCCGTTAGACTTTATCGCATTGAAGCGTCAATTACGTAAGAAACGACTTGTTTGTTGCCAAAAATAGTACGTGGGCATGGGTTTAAAAGAGTTTAGTTGGACAAAATCCCTTCTCAGGACACCGAATTCGCTAGGATACATAGAAACAGCAAGATGATTTCAGCCAGCTACATAACAACCCGGACCAAATGGCTGACGGACCGGCGTCCTTGTTTCCAACTCATGGGGGTAGAATACACAAACAGCAGCTTAATTTAACACAGGCTGGCTTGTGTCTCACATTTGCAAAACGACTGTGTTAGAAAAGTGGTAGCTGTGTGAGTTAACATTTATGTGTGAATTAAGATTTCACAAAGACACCCGTGATAACAGGCTTCTTCTATACAGACGATTCGAACACAGAGAGAAACACAAATGCCATGACATTTTCTTATGTGCTTTCTTATGGATTAAAAATATGAAGTTGCAGATGATACACGAGGCTTCTTACCTGTGTGAAGTTTACTCTAGATATGGTAAGAGTCACTACCTCGTTGGTAGGCTACTTGTATCCGGCTCACCAGTTTCTAACAGCCCGGCAGTATTGTATTTTTATAAGACCATGACTGGGCAGCGTACACCCTGCACAAAAGCACCTGGTTTCCTGTCCAATCGCAGCTCAGACAACATGCGGCGCTACCTAGTCTTGCATGTTTCCGGCCAATCGCAGATCAGGAATTGTAACCACGCGCCAGAACCGCATCTGTGATCCAATCATGTGAGTTGTATGATGTCTGGTGAGAGAGAAGGAGCCAATCACACTGTGAAAGTAATTCCTGGCGCGGTAGACACAGCAGTGGGCAGCGCTTCAAGTACGAAGCGATGTGTCTATGAAAATAGCTGTCCTTTCATATAGTTATTGGATACGCCTCTTTGATTTTTATGTTGTTTTTTTTGTTTTGTTTTTTTAACTATTTTCATATAATTTCCGGTGATGACCAACAATGCCCAGATAGCCTTGTAATGCTGCAAGCACTATTACCATTCAACTCCATTTCATGTAAAATCATATTAATTCATTTTCTGTATATAACATGACTAACACAAAGCCATATAGCACTCTCATCTTTAACAATTACAAGTGGACACAAGGACAGAAGTCAGATGCTATTAGTTCGTTTCCAGTGAGCATGGGGAATTTATGAGCTCATATTTCTTTTTCTGTTAAGCATTTGAAAAAATGCATAATTTGTAGGGATAATATTATCGGGATGCTTATTTTCTGTAGTGCCTTACTGGTAATTCCTATTATGTGTTAGCATCGAGCTAATGGACTGATTTGACAAAGGGCTGCAGTGCCGGTGGAAGTACTCACATCTTTTCCTCAGGTAAAAGTACAAGAGTAACAAAAAGTAAAAGTAAGCTTCTCATCATTCAGAAAGGTCCATTTCAGATCAAATAAAACTACTGATGCATTCATGTGTTAATCACTTTAATGTTGAGGCTGGTAAATGTGGGACTTTTTTTTGCAGGTAGTAGTCAAGTCTTATGTTTATCCATCGTACAATTATGATGGATATAGATTAATTATTGTTTCATTATATTGTACATATAGAGCACCAGGCTCTAGTATTTAAGTATTTAATGAATGGATGGAGAATACATTTTCGAAAATGAGTCACAAAGCAATTTTCATTTGCAGAGACTTCAATATTGTCCTGTTTAAGCACAAAATGATAGATTAATTCATCAATACAATGTACAGTATGAGCCTATATAAAAAAAACACCAGAACCAGCAGAATAACATCACATTGTCCCACTCTAATAGATAATATTTTCACCAATGACATTGAAAACAAAACAGTAAGCAGATTATTAATAGGTCACATTAGTGATCACCCACCAGTTTTTACAATGTATCATAGCAACTTCAAGAATTATCAACCAGACATAAAAACAGAATACAGACAAGTGAGGTCAGACTAATCAATATATGCACTAAAGAATGATTTACTGTCACAAAATTGGGATATGATATAACAAGAAAAAGACATTGACAGTGCATACAAAACATTCTTAGGAATATTCAGGTCGTTATATGATAAAAATTCTCCACTCAAACAACATAGCAGAAAACTAAAATATACATATTGTCTATGGATCACCAAGGGATTACAAAATGCCTGCAAAAAGAAAAATACACTTTACAGAGATTTTATAAACCACAGAATTAATGAGGCAGAAAATAAATATAAAAAATATAAAAACTAAAAACTAATGTTATAAGATCAAGCAAGTAAGATTTCTATAAGAAATTAAGATAAGATACACCTTTATTGATCCCACAATTGAGAAATTCCAGTGTTACAGCAGTCAAGGGAAAGAGTCAGATTAAAGATTTCAGTATTTAAAAAACTTTAAAAAATAGGCATGCAAAAAAAGTACAAAAAATACAAGAAACAGCAATAAATAATAATAATAAAAATGAGCACTAAATAATAACACAAACAATATAAGACGAATCTGGGATATACTAAACAGTACTATTATAAAAAAGTATTTCATTAATAATAATAATAATGATAATGGGTGGTGTGGTGGTTAGCACTGTCGCTTCACAGCAAGAGGGTTCCTGGTTCGGTCCCAGGAGGGAGCCCTTCTGTGAGGAGTTTGCATGTTCTCCCTGTGACAGCATGGGTTTTCTCCGGGTACGCCCAATTTTCCGCCTCGTAGGGTAGACATATTGGTGGAACCCTTTTAGTTTAAACAGACCGAGGCAGCCTTCCGCAACAGGAGGGGCTGTTGATGACTTGTGGGAGGAGCTGTTGATGACGCCGCACGTGCGAGCCACTGGCGGTGGATAAACAGGAAACAGCTGATAGCAGGAATTAGCGAGCAGCTAGTAGCAAGAGGGAAATGTAAACCTGGCAGACACTGTAAAGATGAGCAACTGAGAAGACAAGGAATAGCGCGCCCTCCTTGTCCTCGCAAACGAAGAGGCCATTAACCGTCAGATGACGGGGACGGTGAAGAACGGGCCAATTTACGAGAGAATCGCCGCCTGACTATCGCCGCCTGACCAGCCGCGGCTTCCCTCCCACGTCACTGTTTACGCCACACGCTGAGCTACACGTTTTGTTACTTGCTCACGCCCCCCATTGCCCCGAAAAAGGCACATTCTGTTTAAACAAAAGTAGGTAGGCGGCAATTTTCCGCACTCCCCGATTTTGTTTTTATACTGCCAATGCTGAAAAAAGACTGCAAATTTGCACAGTTCCTATCTAAAAATTGTACTCTCCCTCTCTCTCCCCCCTTCACGCTTAGCTATCCAATCTATAAAGGCAAAAATGCCTAAAAAAAAAATCTTTAAAAAAACAAACAAAACATTCTGCTGTACAAAACTTGGAACAAACACAACTCCACAAATTACAGACCTGTCTCTTTACTTCCACAATTCTCCAAAATTCTAGAAAAACTCTTAAATGATAGACAAATTCATAGAAAAGCACAATTTTCCCTCACTGACAGTCAACGTGGATTCAGATCAAACAGATCAACAATACTCACATTAATAGAATCAACTGAAGAAATGACAAACTCTGTTGCTCACAAAAGATATGCTGCTGGGGTATTTATCGATCTTAAAAATGCCTTTAATACAATCAACCATCACATATTGATTAATAAATGGGAACAATATGGCATCAGGAGGGTAGTACTATATTGGGTTAAAAATTATTTTAGTAAAGGACAACAATTTTGTGAAGTTGGGAGAGTTCTCATCATGTTTGGACATTACTTTTGCCATCCCCCAGGCCCTAAATTGTTTGTCTTTTATGTTAATGACATGCAAATTATCCAATGTTTTGAGGTATTGTTTGCTGATGATACAGATATTTTCTGCCCTGGAGAGAATTTGAACTATTGAAGGATATCAGTAGAGAAATGTGTAAGTCAAAAATGTGGTTTGATAGAAACAAATTATCATTGAACAAATGATAATAAATAATGTTATTTGGTAACTTTAGATGAGGTAAACGTTGAAATAGTGCATGAAATCAAATACCTTGGGGTGACAATAGATGAGAAAATCAGCTGGAAATCCCACATCCAACATGTACAAACTTAACTGTCGAGAAGCATTTTACTTTCTAACAAAGCAAAGCAGTTTCTGGACCACAAATCATCACAAAGTCTCTACTGTTCACTAGTCTTACCATATTTAAATTACAAAGCAGAGGCTTGGGGCAACAATTACAAAACATCACTGTATCCACTTTCTATTCTCCAAAAAAGAGCAATACGGATAATTCATAAAGCTGCGTAACCGGATCACACTCATTATTCTTACAGTCAAAGTTATTACATATTTTTGATCTTGTGGATTTTCAATCTGCACAAATAATGTTTAAAGCAAGAAATAACCTGCTACCAAGACATAATAAAAACCTTTTCAGTAACCGAGTGGGGGGTTATAATTTATGGGGATTATTTAATTTCAAAACTCATAGTGTGCGTACAACCAGCTGTTCCACCCTGACTGACGGAGTGACATTTTGCTCCACTGTGTCCAGGAAGTCTGCCAAAAAGGTATTGTCATCTTCCTGGTAGCTCCCTGACCTGATGGTTGTGAGGAACTGCCCCACAGATATGATTTGCAGTGCATGGTGGAATTCCACTGGAGTTGGCACAGGATTTTTAGATCTCACACAGCTGAATGTATTTTCAAGGCAGTCTTGTGTGAACCTAGATGTCAACACAAACCTGTGTCCTTGATTCAACATCTTCTCCTGTATGGCCAATATCGATGTTGTTGCCATTATCACCTCTGTTTGAACAGGCTTCCAACCTCCCTTTTCACCAATCTTCATCCCACAGAACAGATGGACAAAGTCCTGGAGGAAGGTGATGGCCTTTTTGTACTCCTCCATTTTGATCCTGCTCAAGGCTGTGATTGGATGGTGAGATGACATCAGATCAAACCAATGATCAACTTGCTCCAGCAGCCACGCTGTGGTCATGTATGTCAGAGGGCGGTTTTCTTGCTGCAACATGTATTTCAGTCCAGCACCTGTTGCCTTACTGAATACATTTAGAGCAGGACCAACCTTCATCTTTTCGAAATGACTTGGCTCAATGGCTGCAGCTGAGAGATGGAGAGCTATTTTTAATGCCATCCCTTCTTGAAAGGTCAGTAAGTCCTTAATAGGGACCACTGAAGCCTCATTAGTGGGGATGTTCTCTTTTTTTTTTTACAATATCCTGTGGAATACAAAACACCTGTCCACGGGCAAAGGCACGTTTTAGATTTTTCACCAGACGCGGGACATCAGACATGAAATGGAGCTGCCTGTCTGGTGTTGCTGGATGTGGCACTGATGTTGTCTTGTGGTCGACACCAAAGGATTTCCACATGGCCCAGTTAGGGCTACCCATGTCAGTGGTGACATTAAACACATGTAGCCCGATGGATGCTGCCTTCTTTATAATTTCAATAATTATTGGCCTGTACTCTGCTCCATCTGTCGAATTACTACTGTAATGATATGCCACTACTTGCTTCCTACCTTGTTGTGTTTCCAGCCAACATAAACACACAAGCATGTGTGGCTACTCCTGTGTGACCTGGTAACGTCACATCACC